CATACATATTTTAGCATTTTGTGCCTATATTCTAAACATTTTTTAAAGTATCTCAGTCTATTGAGTAAGTCCTGTCGTTTGACACACTTAAAAGGAGAGTCAATGACTTTGATGTAACTTTCACGTGCGTACATCGAATATTAGTTTTGTAATCAGTTGCCACCAACCGGATGCAGACGATGTGATCACACTCCTCTAAATTGTGTTAAGTAAGATAATTGTTGTATTATATTGTTGATATGGATTACCGGTAAGGTTGTTAAGTTATAAGGTCCTATCATCAAAATGTTCACACCTCAGCCCCAACCATGGCGAGGCTGAGAAGATGTGGGCTACAAATCCTGCATCCGCCCAAGTATATATGGGCACAGTATGCAAGGTATAGTAATGTCAAAACATTAAAATTTAATATTTAATGATTAGATTGACGTCAATACATTTATATTATTTTAGATCACGTGAGTGTTCTGATGCGGGCGTTCCATTATGGTCGTGTGCTTGCAGACAACAAACGGTAGGCAGAATATTTAAAATATTTCATCATCATCATCATCCGTTTGTCCCCTCAATGGGGATTGAGTCGTCTCGACACCACTTTCCATTCTCCCCTGTCACCAACTCTGCTCAGATCAACAATTCTACCATTGTCTCGGACACAATCAATCCAGCGCTTTCTTGGTCGTCCTCTTTCCTTTTGCCGATCTCTACATGCTCCGCTGCCCATCTGACTAAGTCGTCCTATTCTTTTCTCTTCATGTGTCCATACCACCTCAATCTGCTTTTTCTTATCTTTTCTTTAAAATTTACAACTTTTGCTTCATGCCTTATATCTTTGTTTCTCATTCTCTCCAGCATTTTGACTCCTCTAATTGTTCGTAATCATCTGCCACTTCCAACTTCTTAACATGCTCTTCTTTCACTGGCCAGGTCTCTTCCCCATGAAGAACCACATGTCTTATTCTTGTACACCTGTTCTTTCAGCCTCATTGGCATCCGTCTATCGTAAATTAATCCACTTACGTTCCGCCACGCATTTCTCTGAAGTCTTGCTAACACATCAATATCCACGTTCTCCACCCTCGTTAACCCAGCTCCATAAGTATCTGAAGGATTTGGTTTGTTTCAGTTGCTGTCCTTCTACTGTAATCAGCTACTGAGGAACTGACTGTTCTCGTGAGACCAACATTACTTCCATCTTCACTTTGTTCATCCGCATGCCATGAGCTTCAAGTTGATTGTGCACATTAATATTTAAATATTTCTCCCACTAAATCGTGGCCACTGGGCCCGGTACTTTAAAGTTTCCGAAACCCTTTAAGCATAAGCCTTTCAAGCAAGAAGATTATGGAAATTTACTTACACACAGTCGATTTTAGGCAAGTAGACTACGGTTAGTGGGTGGTTTTGTCACAGCCAACCACTACGCAGAATATTGAAATTTCTCGTAATTCTACATTTCAATTTCCACATTTTTTACTGACTACTCATCTTGTGGAGAAGGCGGTACGATCTTTTTTACGCAACATGGTGACGTTACAAGGTTTGTAAAAAAAGCTCCATGCAATGTTGTCCGGCTTTTGTTGACGGCGTGTATAAAAGCTTAATGTTCTTGGGATCTTGTCCTGTTTAGCATAAAATTGTGCTTAGGAATTTGATTTGATATCAAAAACCTAAACACATATTTATTGCTTCAGCACGTCAGGAACCTAAACACATTAGGCTATGCCTAAAGGGTTAATCTTTTAAACCCATCACATGGAGCTTTGTCTTAAGTCCTTCACGTTGTTTAAAAAATGCAAGTCAATATTCAAAACATTATGTTGATATCCTGTAATTTCGTAAATTTGCTTTCTGACTTTAAATGATTTTTATTATAATTTTGATTAAATGTACTGTTATAGGTTGTTACTGGCAACTGGACAGATGTTCACAAGAATTACGCTCAAATGGCTGCCGATATAATAAACACACATCATTCACAGGTAAATATATAATTATTTACTTAGACGCTAGAGCACAATTTTTTGGCGTTCCTAGCAAACTGAACAACTGACCAATGAGAACATGGCCAGGAACAAGCGCACATCCAACAAACACACAAGTTTATGCACATTTACGCTGTAGTTGTAGACTTGTGGCAAGTCTAGAGGGTGCCCTACAGATGAACGTAAATCGTTTGTCGAACACGTGCTCGAATTTCAAACTCTATACGAATTTTAATAGGGCGCCCTCTACCTCGTTGTATTACTTTTTTGCTCTATTGAGTGCATGTAAAATCAGGGCAGTTGAACCTTTTGCTATTCTATATTAATGGAGGCACATGCCCTTCTAATGGACTATTAAAATTGACAAATATGGACGTAACGTAACCACATCACCTCAGTTTCAACAGGCTTTATACAGTCTGATGTTAAATACAGATGTTGGCATCATATCCAAATGATTAGCCAAAACAACTTGATTGTATAGTACATTATTTTTTCTGTAATCTCAGAAACCTCAGACATCGTGCATGGATGTACACATAGACACGATCACATCTGTTATTGAACAGACATTTGCGTACGGAGGAAGGGAGAATCTAGTCCATTACCATATAGAGTTCAAATCTCAACAGGGTCCATCGAAGTGGCAAGTCCAGGTGAATCCCAAAGGGTCTATTGAGTATGTAAGTAGTTCACTGTCGTCAATCTCTGTCCATAGCAATTCCTCTACATCAGGCTCCGTCTGCAAAGTGTTCAAGATTCCATTTTTACAGTATCTATATTAGTTCCTGAACATTTGTGTTTGCTATAGAGTAGGCCTACCTGAAAAACGTACTGTGTTGTAAGAATGTCTCCACTTATAAATAGATTGTTCGATAATCTTGCATGAGCATTGTACATTTTATGCTAAGTAAGCATGTTATACTGTACATGATCCTACTCACTATTTTGTACTTTTACAGTTGAAGCAAATCAGTCGTTACGAGAAGTACAGGGACTGCCATGACGAGCGAGTGTCAATAGAGTTCTGTATATGTCTCCAGTATCCACCTGGCACCCCGTGACGATAGTGGCAGGGCGGCAAAACACGATACAGAGGAACTATAGACCAAAGATCTTATAAACACAAGATAGCGTTCTCAGCGATTTACGCGTGCAAATTCTGTAATAAGGCATGAATGGCGCCCTCTTGCTAAATTGGAAACTTTTGACCTTTGACCGCTATGACTATACCGTACTGTGAACAGCAGAACAGGAAC